CTAATGGGGAGAACAGGTCTGCATGGAGACTGATGCCAGCCAGTCCAGCCTCACCTTGCTGACTCCCCCCACGATCCCTGGGGGGGGGATGTGCTGCTACATTCAGTTGTTGTTTAGTCGTTAAGTCGTGTCAAACTCATCATGACCCCATGGCCCAGAGCACGCCAGGCCCTCCTGTCTTCCACTGCCTCCTGGAGTTGGGTCAAATTCATATTGGTGGCTTCGGTGACACTATCCAACCATCTCATCCTCTGTTGTCCCCTTCTCCTCTTGCCTTCACACTTTTCCAACATCAGTTTATTTTCCAGGGAGTCTTCTCTTCTCATGAGATGGCCAATGTATTGGAGTCTGAGCTTCAGGGTCTGTCCTTCCAGTGAGCACTCAGGGTTGATTTCCTTCAGAATGGTTAGGTTTGATTTCCTTGCAGTCCAGGGGACTCTCAAGAGTCTCCTCCAGCACCACAATTCAAAAGCATCAATTCTTTGGTGGTCAGCCTTCTTTATGGTCCAGCTCTCATTTCCTTACATCACTACTGGAAAAACCATAGCTTTGACTATGCGGACCTTTGTTGGCAAGGTGGTGTCTCTGCTTTTTAAGATGCTGGCTAGGTTTGTCATCACTTTCCTCCCAAGAAGCAAGCGTCTTTTAATTTCGTGGCTGCTATCACCATCTGCAGTGATCATGGAGCCCAAGAAAGTAAAATCTGTCACTACCTCCATATCCCTTCCACTTGCCAGGAGGTGATGGGACCAGTGGCCATGATCTTACTCCAAGCAAATCTCCTTCTGCCAAATCATGACAGCTCAAAACATATGGATCTCATTGATTTCTATATTCTTGGCATATATAGCAGTTTTCAAAAGTGTCTTCATATGGTTAAGTATTATGCTAATAAGCAAATTTTTGTAGCAATTCTTTGTATAAACATCCTCAATATTCCTTTTCAACACAGTGCCTTTAACTTGTATGTCATCTTGAAATAACATGTTTGTGCTACTTTTAAATTTTCTTCTGTTTTCATGAATCCCCTTCCCCTTCCCCTTCCTTTTGTTAATATATTTCTAAACTGCTTGCTGGACAGCAAACCTCTCAGAATGGTAACATACAATTCAAAAACAAATGTAACAAAGTAATATGTCTTCAGACTTTAAAAGACCACACACGCCTTAAAACAAATGGTAGAAATTAATTCTAGTGCAGCTGTGAAGAAAATGCACATTGAAATTTTTAGTCTATAGATGAAAGAGGGATTTTTTCCTCCAGCAAAAGATAAAATATGGTTTTAAATAAATAACAGCTGGAATAAATAGCTGAAATCTTGTTGGCACAGTTCTGCTCACATAAGGCTGATGGGTGTCATCAACTGCAACCTTTTATCTTTAATTAAAAGTTTCTTGTTTCCTTCCCACCTCAGATTCTGAAGTTTCCCTATAATTTGTAAAAGTTAAACTATCCTAACAGAAATGATAGGTCAAATCCCTTTCCACTGGTAGCTAAAGCCTGTTATTAATTCGTTAAACCTTCATAGATTTTAATAGCACCTGCTAAAAAATTTTTGCCACATTGTATATAACATCTGACATGGGTGAGCATTGCAACACTCTTGGACTGTGTTATATTCCTCACTCCTTCTCTGTGGGCAACACGAAATTAGGCTCATGGTTGCATACAGCTAGGCTGTGGTTTCCATTTGCGGTTTTTGGTCTGCAGGTTTTTTTACCTTCATAGATTTTAATAGCACCTGCTAAAAAATTTTTGCCACATTGTATATAACATCTGACATGGGTGAGCATTGCAACACTCTTGGACTGTGTTATATTCCTCACTCCTTCTCTGTGGGCAACACGAAATTAGGCTCATGGTTGCATACAGCTAGGCTGTGGTTTCCATTTGCGGTTTTTGGTCTGCAGGTTTTTTTGCTCCTGGTTTAATGTTTTAAAGGCCAACACCAGTCCTTTAAATTGGCTTTGAAATAAACTGGGCAACACTATTGTATGGAGTATGTTCTTCCTGCTTGATTCCTCCAAAGACTCTAGCTATTACATTCTATATGAACTGGGGTTTCTGAATAGTCTTCAAGCATAGTTCCAGACAGAGTGCATTAGATCAGTCATCTCTGAATGTTACGAGCACATGAGTCGCTAGACCTGCTTTCCCCAGAAAGAAAGGATTGTTGTTGGCAAACCAGCCAAAGCTGGTGAAAACCATGGTGTGGATACTGGTTGTTCCTGCCTGAGAGTCTTGGCCCTCAAATGGTGCGCCCTGTCTTTTCAGGGGGAGAGGAAGGCTGTCTTATAAAGGCTGGGCAGCTCCATTCCATTCAGCTTCCCAACTAAGAGGACCTCAGTTTTTCCCCCAAGATTTTTCCCCTGTTTTTTTCCCTTTCATCCACCGCAAAACTACCTCAAGGCACCTGTTCAGAATTTCCACTGCTTTCCTAAGATTTGATGGCAGGATGAAGAAGTGGAGCTGTCATCATGTGCAGACTGGAGCCCACATTTCTGAATGACTGCTCCCAGCAGTTGGGGTTTTTTGCATGTACAGTGGTGCTCCGCTTGACTATTACCTCGTTAGACAAGGAAATCGCTTAATGATGAGTATTTCGCCCATTGGAACGCATTGAACCGGTTTTCAATGCATTTCAATGGGTTTTTTACTTTCGCTTGACAACAATTTCGTTCTACAGCGATTTTGCTGGAACAGATTATCCTCGTCAAGCAAGGCACCACTGTAGTGTCATTGCATTTTCTAAGCCAATTTCTTCATCAGTACGTGCTGGAGATTTAATTTTGTTCTGTTGAATGAGAGCTAGGTTTCCGTGGATACTAACAAGAAATTATATTTGTTCAGAAACGCTTTTGGAGCGTCAGTAACTGCCCATGGGGCTATATAATATTCGCTGCCCAGTTTGTATCAGCTGTAGGTAAACATGCCCCTTTTTGTTTTTCTTATTTATTTAGAAATGATAACAAGTCAATCTCACATTTGGCTTCTCAGCACTCCTGTGTTTTGCTGAGGTCACAAGGGACCTGACTGATTGTGCCTCTTGCCTGCAGAGCAAAGAGAGCTCGTCCCTGCAGTATATACCACTGCAGCAAAATGCCCAAACCAAGCTTTCTGCTAAAATATTTACAAGGACAGAGCGCAGATCCATTCGCCTCAGCTCATGGCTTGCTGTTCCCCAAGCAGACACCCACGCACACATCCAAAGGGCTTAATACATCTGCGTGAAGCCGTCTGTTGCTACTGCATTTAATCTTACTAATATTTCTTTCCTTGCTGCCTACAATGCACCCAGAGTTAAATTGTTTCTTTCTTTCTTTCTTTCCCTCCCTCCCTCCCTCCCTTGGAAGTGCTTCAACAATATTTGCTGGGGTTACAAGCCATCCAGTCACTTCTGATTCATGGTGCCCCTAACGGGGTCTTCAAGGTGTGTGAGATGCTCAAGGAGGGGTGTATCATTGCCATAACCAGTGAGTTTCCATGACTAATCAGGGATCTGAACCCCAGTTTTCTCATTTTATCCAGTGTATTACCCTGGCTCTCAAACAATATTTAATTCTATTTTATGTGCTACGCTACCACAAACATATAATATACTGTAGTAACCTAGCCTAAGCAGCTAAGGGTATTTTGTTATCAATGAGTACGTGCTCTCAGTGCACAAAATTATTAAGTGAGA